GATATGGGGTGTGTGGATGGAGCCGTGAGTGGTGCAGCGCAAGCCACCCATGGTCCCTCTGTAGACGCAGGTGTCCTGTGGCTGGTCACAGTGACAGTCAAATCGGAAACCGGATGCCGCCAACCATATATAATCGGCAGTCCATAAGATAGACAGCTAAGGAGAACCATGAAACCGTAGTAATAAACACAGCCACAAAGAAAATAAAGTTACAAACAAGTTTTTCTTTTGGTTTGAATCTTATTTCGTTTTTTGTTTTTATTTTACAAGTCGTTTCATTCTATTTTTGTCTGTTTAATGTTTGCGAGGTAAAGCAACACATACATTTGTACACATTTTCCATTGGGTCCGGTTCTGCGTCACCTCCGAAAGTTTCCAGCCAGCGGTGTTCTTTATCTTTGATCCCGCAGCCCGGAAGATGCATGGGACCTATGACAGCTAAACTGGATGTCAGTGCTTTAATTGTTTGTCGCCACGTGACAGACTGACCACCACGCGATTTCTTCCAGCCTGGTCCTGCGCGAGCGGAGAGCGCGTTGGGGAAGCCCTTCGCATGGCATGCGTAAAATGCAGCCCAGCCATCTCAGCTGGCGCAGCAGTACTAGTCTGTCACGTGGAAGTTCTGTGTTACCCTAGATGCGACGCCTAACATCATCGTTGCGCACGTGGTTCATGCACCACACTCGAGCTATTCTCCGCAGATATCCATTGTCAAAGGCCGAAATCCGACGCAAGTCACTCAGGCCAGGATTCAATCCCATACAGCAGCACCGCGCGAACCCAGGCATTGTAGACCCTGCCCTTTACCAATAGTGAAACGTCAAGGCGTCGCCACAGATGCCTCAAATTGACGAATGCCGAACGGGCTTTGGCAATGCAGAGGGAAATCTCTTTTTCAATGCTACCGTTGGCAGAAATAAAGTTTCTCAGGTAAACAAAGCTGTCCTCTTGTTCGAGCTGCGTACCTTGAAGAGTAAGCACTGGGCCAAGTGAATACCGATCCAGGACTAGGACTGCATTTCATAGGGGCAAAGGCCATTCCATGTTTGGATGCTTCAACCGCCAAGCGGTTTAGAACGGCTTGTGTGCGTTGTGTCATCACCAAGCAAGGCAATATCATCAACATAATCTAAAGCGGCCACGCGGTTGCCAAGAAACTCTACACCAGAACCCTGAGAGCCATCGAAAACATTTAAAAGGACATCCTCGATCGCAAAATTGAAGAGAAACGGAAACATGGGGCAACCCTGTCATAGATCCATAGTGATGGCAAAAGGTAAAGAGAGCTTAACGTTAGGTCTCACTTTACCTGGGACATTGTCATATAATGCTCGAAGGATGGCAATATTATCATCGTTATACAGGTTAGATAGAGGTGGGAAACACCTCAGCTACTATGCCGCAATAAAAACAAGGGAAAAAATACCACAGGTGCAAGCCAGCTGAGCTATCGGTAACGGATGGGTATCGTTCCGGTAAGCAACCAGCCGGCTACTGTGCAGGACGGCACTATACTTTTCGGGTACGCCATTCCTTTGTAAGTAACGCCATAAAGTTAGCCGATCGATGGAGTCGGAAGCGGCTCGGATGTCCAGAAAAACAACGATAGTGTACTTACGGTAAAGATGACGGGTTTTAATGTTTTGCCGTAGGGTAAACAAGTGGTCTATACACTCTCGACCGGGGGCAGAAACCAGCCAGTTGTATACGGGAGCGCAATTCTCGAATCAGGATTAGTCTGCGAAGTAGTATGAATGCTAACAGCTTGGACGCAATGGACAGGCTGATTCCTCTGTGGTTAGCTCATAGGGTATGGGCACCTTTCTTGAAGTTCGGGACGATAAGTGACTCGACCCAAGCGGATGGAACTGTTCCTTTACACCAGATTTTAAAAAACAGAGCTGTTAGTTGATTGACGATTACTTCGCCCCCGAACTTGAACAGCTTTGAAGGAAGTCCGTCTGGGCCCATAGACTTGAATCGCTTCAAGTGTTGGAAGTCAAGGCAGATCTCAGCTTCAGTGGGTGATTTCAATGAGAAGTTCCAATGTGCGCAACTAGGTATACTCGATAGGCTTGCCGGCGAAGACCAGCTGAATTGAGTGCAGCTGTTCAGCCCAGCGGTCCATACGCCTGTGTAAGCTGTTTAGCGGCGTTCCGTCAACCTCACAAATGACCACACTGACACCAGGTCTTTTGTGACCAGTGGCCCGGATGACCTGGAAGAGCTTGCGAAAGTTTCCAGAGAGGACTGCCGTTTCTATCTCTGAGGCGCGCTGGGGTTACCAAGTTTCTCAATCAGCACGCAGGCTTTGCTTAAGTTGTTGGCTGAGAATGCGACGCAATGCACTGCTACTTGAATCGGTTGGGATAGCTCTATGACGATCAAACAATTCGAGTGAGTGTGAGGAAATCCAGCCCCTCAGAGAGTGCCTCTTGATTCCGCAGACTGAAGGACTGGAAGTTAGCATCTCTTCACGCAGGAAACTCCAATGATTTTAGATGTCTCAAGGTGGAGCACCAATGAATGCAAGTGATCAGGAAGCTACATGAGTTGATCGAGTAGAGGTTAGCTAACTTGGTGTCCAACGTATGGAGCTTTCGTTTTGAAGAGCCGCCGAAGCGCATGCAGATGTCCGCGCAGACCAAATCATGATCTAAATCGAGGTACGTAGACCAAATCGATCTACAATCCCGGATGCTGATTACAATGTGATCTATTGGTGACCACGCTTGCGTTAGTGAAGAACGCCAGGTGACTGCGCGTCTTCTGAAAAGTTCGTACTTGCGTGAAAGAGACCGTGGTCTTCGCATAATGGAAGAAGTCAGAACGGCTCTCCTCAAGCGCGACTGCCACCAAGATGACGTTCGCACGGAAGCAGGCGTCCTACTCGTGCATTGAAATCTCCGGCAACGATGATGACATCTGACATTTCGGCCTTGTTCAAAAGGCTGTGAAGTCATCATCATCATCATCATCAACAGCAGTACATCAGCCATTTGAACTGATGCTTCGCTGCCATACAACCATGAGGACCTATGAAATAAAGAATAAGAAGAGGGAAAGAAAGGGGACTTACCTGAAAACCTTAATGCCCTAAGCAAACATTCAGGATCAAGGCGCCTACACCTTGTGTAGACAACATTCCGTCACAAACAGCTGGCTATCGTGCAAAGATAAGGCTGTGAAGACCAAGACAAAAGTCATCCTTAACCGATGTACAGCTGAGTAGACAGAAACGATAAACAAATTGCGCCTCTTTTCATGATGTTGGTTGATTCTACATGAGCCTTGAAGCCCAACCGCACACAGCCGATTGTCGATTGGGCACCAGTCGAGTAATGCAGCCTCGGCTTTGTCACTCAATGCGATACCGACACCAGCTAAGCCGGTGGTTGTTGCCTCTATGTCACTAGACAGACGTAGGTAATATGTGGTCTCAAGAGCAAATGGGCACGACAAGTTAACCACGGCGCTGGGATCCTGCAATCGTGTCTCTGAAGGCAACAAACATCGATGGCGAGGGACTAGAGTGCGCGCCAGGCCAGCGTTGTCCAATCTGTAGGAGGGTCGGAACATTGAACGCTGCCCTACGGAATGAAGTACAAGGTCGAAAAATAGCTGATGGTCGGATGATTTGGATATCAGCGAGACGGGCGTTGGAAGTAGATTCAACAGGTTGTAGATTATCAACAAGAGAAAAGTTGGTGTTTGATGGAGAAACACGAGTAGCAGCAGAGGTAAGCGACGTAGTGGTAAATGCGAAATACATGATTATCACAGAGGGCAAGGTACCACCAGGTTGCCCAAGTCGAAGTAGGGAGTTGTCTTAGGGGACTCCACCCCGAGTCTGGCTGAATAGTGTACCCGCGAGGCAGCAGAGCGAAGTCAGGGATTCGCACCCATTAGGAGCCAATGACTGATTACTGACAAGGATTTTCTGACCTCTACAAACCAATTTTCATTGCAGCTTCCCCAGGTCCATTACGTCCTAAGTGCGCAAAAGACAGAAACCATCTGAATGCTCGACAGGACGCATATTACAAGACCATTACGGTCGCAGGGAAAACTAATAAACACCGCAAAAAAACGGAGCAGGTTGCTTTAGCAACGTGTAAGCAAATGCGATGGCAAGGAGCAGAGGAAATAACAATATTCCCCTTTGAACTTAAGACACGCAACTGTAGGGTTGCAGCTGCCACGAACCATAATCCAGGGGGTGTAAGAAACGGTACGACTGCGGGTAGCACGAAGTACCAAGATTAGACATAAAGCTAATATGTCTTAAAAAACTGAAAGATGCAAATAGTAGACTCAGTTCTAGTTCAAGCATTAATAATGCAAAGAGCCCAGGTTCATACTTTCTACTTTTGGAGGGATTTTTATGTATGTTTTCTTGGTAAGTGCAAGCGGGTTCAAGCGGGACTGGAACGATAGGATAGATCCCGTGAGTGTTCCTTCTTCGGCGGGTCGTTGAACCAGGAGTTGGCGAACTTTGAAATACTGATGGACCTAAAACAAAGACCGCATCACACCCTGTCCAACCAATTAGTAGACTAATTAAGGACAAGTTCAAGCGGGTTCAAGCGGGACTGGAACGATAGGATAGATCCCGTGAGTGTTCCTTCTTCGGCGGGTCGTTGAACCAGGAGTTGGCGAACTTTGAAATACTGATGGACCTAAAACAAAGACCGCATCACACCCTGTCCAACCAATTAGTAGTTATGTATGCAGTTAAATATGGCGTCGACTACAAAATTATTTAGGCTATACACTGGGAAACGTACAGTTTTGCTACTAACGTTTGAGAATGCATGCATATTTTGCTTTATGACACAAGCAGCATGATGAAACCTTCGTCGTATAAAATTAATGTCACTGATTGCGTTTACTACTAAATTGGCAAAATCTGGTAGAAGGTCTGTGGAAATAGTTACATTAGAAATATATGTGTGGCGACGCCAAACCAGGAAACTAATTCACTCTTTCGTAATCCGCACCTTCATATACCAATTGTGCGGTTTTTGCGTTAAATACCATCCCAAATCACCTTTACGAATTTGGTTCCGGCGCTCGTTCTTTAGTTAACAAGATTTGACTCGGTAAAAGCAGTAATCAATGCACCTGTTAGAGTCATTTTAATTTTTATCAGTTGAACCAAACCATATAACGTAAGGTATTTCTGTGCCGTCCTCACGGCCTCAAGTTCAACTTTCACATCTACTGTGTACTTGAAGGCCGTGGAGTGATTGTCAAATAATCTACGATGCGAACACTTTTATGTGGGCGGTTAACTAGGCGGTTTAACATCCAGAGAAGCTAATTCGAGTTGCCACGTATTCCGCTGTAGTATGTATCCAGTTGAGGTTTCCGAGGGCTTCCGTGTCCTTGGCGGACGAGACCGATGGGAGATAAAATGTGAGTGTTAGTTTGGGGGCGGGTGGACAGTTACGTTTTAATCACCCAGTAGAATTCAGATAAGTTCAGTTCAGATGGGACTGGAAAGATAGGAAAATCACGTAGGTGTCCCATCTTTAATGAAACGTTGAGCTAGGAATTGATGAAGCGCTCAGTTATTATTGGATCTAAAAGGGAACACCCGTATCGCACCCTGGCCAATCAGTTCATGCCACGTTTCCTGATCTAGCAGTCCCTGCTGTGGCAGCCACGTGAAGTAAGCAAAGGATAGGATAGAAATAGAAGGTACAGAACAAGCGCACTTAAATAAGAAAATAATACCAATACGTGAAGTAAAGTGGAGAAAAGAAAATCGAAGTACGAAGACGTGAGTTGCGCAGGAAAATGACAAGGTTCCGTGTTGCCACGCAAGAGCGTCAAGTTGCCGCTCAAACCCCTTAACGGTAGATTCCCTGATAACACGTTCCGGAAGCATGTTTCAGCTGTCGATGACGCGGCTTGACAGCCGGATTTCTGCGCTGATTCGCTCGGACCGCGGTTTGTCCAGCTTTAAGGAATGACCGCGTAGAGAAGCCAATCTAGCGGGACTAAATAGCTAAGATAAATCTGGACCAACCATCCCATTTAAGACACTGTAGTTTCGGATTAGTTCTCCTCTAAGTCTTCAGTGGTGTTTTGAATGCATTCCAAACTAAGTAGACGTTTGGGGCACTTCCGTCCCCGTAATCCCTCGAGTAACCTCGTACCCATTCCTAAAACCCTCTCTAGCACCATTTTGTCCCTGACGAAGCAGGGCTGACAAGCCTGGAAGCAGTATCCCAGCTGAGGCCGAACGGAAGCCGTGAACAGCCTGACAAAGATGCCGCCCGTCTAGACTCAGAAAGAAAGTCGTATAAACCCCAACATGCGGAAACCGCTACTTGTGGCCCTCATCCGGTTTTCGACGGAGGGTAAAGCCGAAGAGTGTACGACGCCTAGGTCACGCTGGCTAGGTTCACGGGGAGTTCGACCCCACCGACCATGTACTTCGTACTAGGACAACCCCAATTCATAGAACAGAGCACTTTGCTTGATGTATGAGCACTGACCATAAAGTAGACCATTCTCAAGGCTTATCCAATGTTCGCTGAATAGCTTCGGAACCCCAGGAACATCAACCATGTTCCACAACGTCAGGTCATCAGCCGATAGCAGTGGTGGTACCTCCAGCTTCGTGGGTACGTCATCCACGTAGATAGAGAACGTCAGCGGCCCAAAGACCGAACCCTGCGGCACGTCACTGAGGACAGAGTGTCTAAACGATAGGCTCTAGCCTACCAGTACACACTGTCCTCTGCCCTGCAAGAAGGCGGTCAATCAATGAAGGGCGCGGCCAGATACCCCGTAGGAGGGCAGCTTTCGCGCGAGTCTTAAATGGGGTACCTTGTCGAATACCTTCGAAAAGTCGACGAAAAGCACGTCCAGCGCGTGACTGTTATCCACTGCATCCGCCCAACTTTCGCGAGCCACCAGTAGGTTCGTTCCGGGATCCGTGTTGCACATTGCAAATAGATTACATCTACTCAGATGATTCTCCAAGGAACCTCTCACCATTTCCTCCAGGAGTTTGACTGCTACACTCGTCAGACTAACCGGCCTGTAATTTGCAGGCGGACCCCTGTCCCATTTTTGAAGATGGGACAGATGACAGCTTCCTTCCATTCGGAAGGCAATGCATAGCTGTCAAGCGATTTCTTAAACACCATAGTGAGCGGTCCACTTAGTTCCGCAGCCAACTCATGCAACAGTTTATGACGAATTAAATCAGGCCCAGAGGTCTTAGAAGGGTTCAGCCCTTGTAACAGCCTCCGAACTTAAGTCTCCGCTTCAATAAATTCAGATAGTTCTGAACCCACTGGAGTCTTGCAAACCAGCTCAGCGCCTGTAAAAGAGCTTTTCTTTACAAACGCTGTCACATATTGCCTTGTCATAGTCCGTATGAGCATGAGTGCCGTCATCACGCATCAATACTGGAATTGACATGTTCAAACCGCAGCTCCTTTTGACATAAGCGAAGAATCTTTTTGGATTCTCTGAAGATTTGTCCGCTTAGTCTTCCTTGAATTTGAGCCGAACATCCCTTAGGTGTTGCTTACGCCTATCTATAGCATTACGGTACCTGTCATAAGTCTCGGTGAGTGGAGCATCTGGGTATGTCCGCCATCATCCATACCTCTTAGTGAGCAGGTCACTGCCAGTAGGATCAATCCAGTGCGGCTTTCCCGGGTCTCCTTTCTCCTTCTGACTAGGAAGAAGGGCGCAAAGACCTCTGTGAGGTAGGACATAAATTTATCATAGGCGACCTCGACAGTATCATCGTCTGAGACATTGCAAACCCGAAGTCTTCGCTCTCATGGATTGATGGTCTGCGTGCCATATGTGCGGGTAAGGCTACAGGAATCTGGCAGCTTCTAGATAGAGTAGCACTGAAGTGCAAACAAACATGCTCACTGGAACCCGGTGGAGGGCCCTAAGTAATGTCACCAACAAATTCGAGTGACGCAGCAAACACAAGGTCTATGATAGACGGTACATGGGAATCCATGTACCTAGTGTGGAGGTCAATGCACTGATGCAAGGATACTTGGAGCGTAAGCTGAAGTAGATCAGCGCCGAATGTGCTTGACGCTGAGTCACAAGAAAGATCTGCCCAGCACATCTCTGGGAGGTTGACGTCGCCCATCACCAAACACTTATTTGCGGACTGGGAGCGAATGAATTCAAGTACTTTTTTGGATACCCTCCCAAGGCTTCTACACACAAGTCCAACCGTAACCTGAGGCGATGGTGTGCTATTAACAACCGACAGAGATTCAACAGTTTTGGCTGACTACTGAAATAAGCTAGCCTTCAAAACCTCACGTTTACAACTCACATAAAGCGCGACGTTCCCTCACTATCGGCCAGCAGTGCGATGGCATCCAAATGATGCGAAGCTAGATAGATATAATCCACCATCTGTGAAGTCCTGCGATAGCCATGTTTCAGTGAAAGCGAGTATATCAGGATGAGACCCATCTACTAGCAGAACTAACTCGCACACTTTAGTACTTATGCTGCGCACATTACTTAACACCATCTGAAGGTATTAGTTAAGTCCAGACCTGGGTCGTGCGCTACCAGAATGGGCAGTGGTAGGGCGGAAAAGGACCGCCGGCTGACCACCCAAAAACCCACTAACCACAGACATTGTTCGCCGGCCGCTCGCCTACTTTTGAGGTGTTTGATGGCCTCCCATAGCTTCAGCCTGTCGCCCGGAGGAAAGTCCGACTGAACGCTAATATTTGTACCTTTCAGCTTAAAAACAAACCGCATGAGAGCGCTGCGTTCCTCTGGGGTAGAGAGTGCCACACGAAGTGGCCGCGGTCGAGGGTTTAATACGTTAACTGGGACGTTTCCCAGTCTAATCAGCTTCCTGACAGTAACGCCTGGAAACCAGGCGGAAGAAGCTTCGTTACGCACACTTTAAACCATTGAAGGTCGTCTAACGTGCGAGCAGCAGGAATGGCAGCCGTAGATTCAGCAGCGTTACGGAATATAACACTAGATGGATGGTGTGCCTGTGTAACACATCGTAGCGAGCTGGAAGGCCTTGTCGCAGCTGCTGCTGGAGAAACTGGTGTGAGTTTACCTGGTGGTGAGCGTGAAATCTCACAAGAGATGGCTGCTGTAATGATATTGAAGACCAAGTGAAGAGGACAATTAGTGGAGGAATTGAAAAGCCCAATCTAGGCCAAGCTTGACGAAGTCTTGCATGTCGACTTGCTACAGCAAGCGTCTAACTCGCTGTATTCTCCTACGTAAGCAATGTCGGCGGCGCTTGACAACACCCGAAGGCATACAAATCCAACGAAGTGGTAGGCACTTGTAAGGAGGGCAGTCACTGTGTACCCAAGCGAAGTAGGAGCGTCTCCCCAACATCGAGGTAGTCACGTTTGATCAAATGTTTGCGTTAATAAATAAATAAATTGTTATTTTTGTTCGTCGCAAGCAGCCGACACTTCAGCTAAGACAACTACCTATCCGGAAAGGCACCAGGCGGCAGTTTTGCCCCATTAAGGCTCGTCAGTGGTGCGCAACCTTTGGTCTTCTACGGGGGTCGAACTCCTGACTGCTAGTGACCTGTGCCAACTAGCCCGTTGCTTGTGCAACTGAGCCATGGACTAGCTGACTTAGCTGAATTGTCGGCTGATTGCGAAGAACAAAAATACTCGCCAAACTCCTTCTACTCAAAAGTAAATAAATGTTTATTCAATGCAACGGAAGGTACACCTGAAAATCATGACCATGTTCAGGTCAAGTCAGGTCAGGTACAAAAGACGATAGTGGTCTTCGCCCAACGAGCGTCCTGTTTCTTGTGCCGGTAATTGAAGCGGCCCCCGGCACTTCGAATTTGGGTTGGCTCTTGTTGCTTCTGCATAGGAATGAAGCAAGAACACGAGTAGGCTATCCACTATCATGTGTCAGCATATAAATACACTACATATTCCAGTACATTTACAATACCTCTTGGAAAGGGACAGACCAACATTCATCTAAGCTACTTTTG